ATATTATATATTTCTTTTTTACAACTATGAAAAAAATATTTGCTAATATTTATTAAATAATTAAAAAAATGAAGAAGACAAAAGAAAAAATATTTCCAGAATCAAATCATCATCAAAAAATAGCAGAATATAACATGCTAGCCACTAAATTATCAATTTTATTTAATTAATTACAGTAGAGCATCGTTTATCCGAAACAATTGTCGACTGGATTTGTTTGGATAATTTATTTTTCGGATAACTGATTATGTACGAAAAAATATATTAACCTATCCCATGTTGAAAATTTTCTCTGTTGTATGTTGCTTTGCATTGAATTTTTGTCGATGTTAAGCCCAATGTAAATTTTTAAAAATAATAATCATGGCTATTGTATCGTTAAAAATTATTTCTTTATTTTGTACCAAAAAAATAAATATATTGAAAAATATGAAAACAAAAAAATTCTATTTTGGAAGTTAATCTAGTATCAAAAATGTTCGATTCAGCATGACACAGTCTGACTGGAACACTTTTGGTTGATCGGCTTTCAGATAAACAACACTCTACTATATATAAATTTCTTTAAATTATATTAATTGTTCTAAAAGGGTTCCATTGTGCCACTTAATTTTGTTTTCAGTGAATCTACTCAGTGACAAAAGCTAGAAAACATTCGGAGATATCAAATATAGTCTTTGCTTGTGTGAATTATGTTTGATAAGAATATCATTGCATTGCTCAAGTTATATTTTACAACAGATTTATGTATTTATATGTTTAGGCAGATACTTTTTCCATTTCTTCTTGCAAAAATTTCTATTTTCTATCAGAAAAAATTAACACTTAAATAACTTTATAAAATGTTAGATATTTCTATTAAATGAATAAAAAAATAACCACTTTATTAAAAACTCCAGCAAAAATTTAATGAACAGAATGTTTTTATTTCAGATTGATGGATGTACAGTACATCAGGCTTTAAACAAAATGAAATGTATTACAGTGCATCCCAAAAATATAGATAAATCTGTTTTTATTTTTTTTTAAATATTAAGTATTTCTTAACAATGCAAGTAGTTATTATAGTTTATTTATAGCATAATACAATGTTAAATAATTATGTAAATTATTTAATATTGTAAATTTCAAATATTTGAAAATTACAATACAGTATTGTAAAATATTGTAATTTTCAAATATTAAACACAAAATACTTGTTTTGTGATGTCCCAAAAATATAAGTAAATTTAAACTTTGAGCAACAGTTTAAAACAATTTTCATCAATTTATGTTATTATATGAAATAGAACTATCATTATGTTTAATGACTTTAAATCAATGCCTAATCACATTTTTGATTAAATTGTAAGATTTCTGGATGCATTTGAAACCAGCACTCAATGATTCTTGCTTATGCTCAAACTGTTGTAAAATGCCTGTTATTAGCATAAATTTTTCAAGCAAGAATGCATCCCAAGTTCTCAATCGAATTTATGTCTAGGCTTCTTGCTGGCCAATTAGTTCTTGAGTGTGATCAATGAATACTGGAATTGTACTGTTGGAAAATCCAATCAAGTCCTCCAATAGTTATTAAATTATAGTTTAGGATTTTTTGATGTCTGTCTACCACTTAATTAAATTAATGGTTTATCAAATTTAGTGATTTTAAATCCAAAGCAGCCCCACACTATAACAAAACCACTGCCCTTTTTTGTCTGATGAAAAACTGCACTCTTTTTCCTAATTTCACACTAGTAATTAGGCTATCCCAATTAAATTTCTTCTCATCAGTGAAAAGAACTGAGAACCCTTGGTCATTCTACAGCATGTGATCTTTAGCCCACTGCATTCTTGCCAATTTGTGTTGTTTTATTAGTGGTGGTTTTTTGATCATAGCAGCAAATTTCATATGTGGAACTGCTAACTTCTTCAATAAACAGTGCTTTTTGATATTTTTAATTCACTTTCATTCTATTGTGATGCAAGGCACATAATTCGATTATCATCCCTTTGAGATGTGATTTTAGGTCTTCATGATTGATGTTTAAAAGGTATTGGTGATGATTTTCTCAAAATTTTATAAATTCCAGGAGTAGATCTGTTCATTAAAACAGAAATTTCCTTTCCTTGACATGACAGCCTTCTGCTTTTAATTAATTTCCATATTCTTGCAATTTTTTCCATACTACTCGCTCTTCCATATGGCATTTTGAAAAGTTTTGATTCAATATTTAAATTTGTTGTCAAGTAATAATTTGAAGTGTTACAATTATGAAAATAATAATAAATAATGTCGAGTAAGTTTCTTATGCTAGAAATTTTACAATTCTGTTTTATTATCTATACTTTTGGGACAGTCAAAAATATATTTTTGTTGTTAAATTATTAATTTAATGATCTTTAAACTGATTTTTGATAATTTTAAAATTGAAGTAATTCAAATATACAAATGAAATCATTCTCATTTCTCTTAAATTCCTAACATTTCTGAAAAGTAGTAAAATGTTGATTATCTATACCAGTGGTTCCCAAGCTTTTTTCATTAGCGTACCCCGTGACATGTCATATCTCTAGATTGTACCCCTCATTTAAGAAATTTAGTGAGTAACTGTATTGTTAATTTTACATATTGTAACTTTAAATTAAAGAAAAAAAAAACCTAAAAGAAAAAATGTATAATAAAGTTGTGATTGTTGCAAGAAACATTTTTTATCTAATAATTTTTTAATACTATTAGTTTGTGATACATAATATATTATTTTTTCTGCCATAATAACTAACTTCTTTCTGTACCCCTAAACAACCTATCGCGTACCCCTGTGGTACGCGTACCCCTAGGGGTACGCGTACCACAGGTTGGGAATCGCCGATCTATACTTTTGGGAAGCACTGTAGAAACATGCAATATTAAAACTTTAAATTTGATGTAAAAGAACATATAACATATGCACAATCACAATGTTTTATAACAGAAATGGAGAATGAAGTAAGAATAAAACTAAAATACCAAAATATTTTCAATTCATCAAGCTGGATCGAAAAAGATTTTGTTCATTAAATACTTAAAATAATCAAAACATCTTAGTAATTCCAGCAACGAAGTATTTAATAAAATAAAAACGTTTTCCAGGTGTTTTGATTATTTTAAGTATTTATATTCCAGTAAGTTATTTTTTTATTTTATTTTTGTTCATTAAATATTTGCTGGAGTTTAATAAGGTAGTTATTTTAATTTGTTTCCTTAATTATCCCATTTACTATTTAATAAATAATACAAATCAACAAAACAGACATCCTTGAAAATATAAAAAAATTTGGTACTTATCTGTTAAACCTCACATTGCATTGCGGTGTTGTTCAAGTTGATGCCAAGTTATACTCTGCCACATTGTTTCTCTAAACAATGTAGGCAAACTTGAATGAGTGACAGAATGAATTAATTGCATTTTACACAAATCACAAAGAGAATTAAAATTAAATTAATTTGATTTAATATTTAAATCGTTTTTTTGTTACTATAATCAGAATATTTGTTTTTTTAAGAAATAAGTTTACCATTCAGTGTTTAATATTATATGGTAATATGCACACAAGTCTTTGATATGTGCTTTTATATTGATGAAAGAGGTTTAGAAAATGGATTCTTCAATCAATTTTTGGAATTTTTCAACATCTGAAGTTGATGTTTTTGAATTCTCCAGAAATTTGATGTATTATATTTCAATTGTTTTACTTTTTTATCATTATAATGAATTTAAAGTGAAAAATCCAAAATGTGGGCATAACAAAACTAATGGTTGCTTCAAACACAATGAAGTGTTATAAATTAAGATACTTGGCGATTTTCTCATCTTTTATTCAGTTTTATTTTATTCAGTAATTTATAACACTTCATTGTGTTTGAAGCAAGGTTTCAGATTATTAAAAGAAACAAATGGTGTCATGATATATGGACAAATAGTTGGAAAATGTTACTGAATTAAAATTTATAAGAATGTAAGTGTTAATGGTAAAAGTGTAGATGGATTAACCTGATGGCAACACTTCAATCTTGATAACAAATCTGCTTTGAAAATAATTGACAGCGACACCTAGATTAAAATACAATGTTTTTAATAATGCAGAAAAAGTTTCTACAATGGAAAAGGATGAATTTATGAAAGAATCATCTGAACCATGTTATTTACTGAAGAAATTGGAAGTAAAGAATTAGAAATATGTCAATGGTGAAAGATTACTTTTACTTAAATGTCAGTGTAGTTACTAGTTGCGCTGGTTGTCATTTTGTTTGTGGACATCACATTCACAAGCAAGAAGTGCCGTCAACAGGTTTACCCATTTACACTTTTATTGTGTTAATTAATAGATTTAATTCAATAATTAATAATTTAATTCTTTATACTACAGTATTTAGAAAAATTTTGTTAAATGTCAAATAATATTTAATATTGAATTTTTGAATAATGTGCTTTTTTTGAATCTGAAGTACCTTTTTATATTAAGACTATTCTAAAAAAAAACATTTTGTTAAATTTGAATTTTTGAAAAATATAGTATTTTGATGTTTCCAAAAAGCTTCCTTTTATTTTATTTGTATTTCTCAAAATAATAATGTGAATTGCCACAGACTATTGAGAGGAACACACCATACAATGTTATGTGCCATGTTGGGCTTTAACAGATAAACACCAAAAAATTACAGTCATTCAGAGAATTTTATGTAATTTCTTTGAAATTTTCTAATAATGAAGTTTACTTTATATAGATGAAGCTAAGATTTAAGAACATAAATAGTTTAATATTCTATATAAAGATTATGATAAATTTGCTCATTTAATTCTTGATACTAAGTATAATTCTGATTAAACTATAATCATGATGCAATAACTGAAATATATACATATATAAAAACAATAGGATTATAATAAAATCAGCTTTTGTCTTACTGGGATTCAATAAATATTTATTTACATCATTATTTATTGTTCTATGTAAGCAGTATATAGAATGATACTTACGATCCAAGATGCCACCATTATTATTCTTCAGTGCTAAAGAAAAGTTTTGGATTTTTACTTTCAAGAAATTATTTTTTATAACAACATAAGAAATTTAAGAAATATAAAAATTAACTTTATTTAATTATATAAAAAATTTAATATAAGGCAATCTTGGCAAAATGATAGATGCAATGGCCTTGGTGACTAGTGAACTACTGTGTGAAATGGTTTTGTGCAGACTGATAATGCAAGAGCAAACATTTTTATACATTCATTGAATTAAAATAAACATAAAAATTAATTATTGTAAAAGTAATTATATAAATTTACAGATATTAAAATTATCACAAAATAGCAATTTTGAGGAATATTATTAGTAAATTATTTTATGTATTGTCACCTTACAGTAAGGCACACATTTATATTCACTGTAATATGAGCATTATTGTAATCATCTATTGTTTTCAAAATTATAGTATAAACAAATTGCAATATTTAAAATAAATTTTCTTTCTTATATATTCTTTTGTCAACTTTTCTTGTTATTATTAAATACAAGTATGAGACAAAAGAACACCCAAATGATTAAATAATATAAAGCAACTTATAACCAAATTTTAATTTATTACAGCCAAATGAACTTTACCAAAATTATTGGGCTACTATTGGGCTGATTAATAATTAATTTGACTAAAAAACTAATTAAGTTTAGCCAAATTAATTACTAATGTAGTCCAATAGTAGCCCAATAATTTTGGAAAATTCATTATTATTTAATCAATTAAAACTAAAACAACAATTTTTCTTATACTAACCAAGTGTAATTGACAGTATTAAAATACAAATACAATACAATCAGACAGACAGAGATTAACCATTTATTACTACTTTAATATAAAATATTTTTAGAAATGATAATCTGTATGATATCTTAACAGAGAAACCCTGTAACATACTGAATTTTTCCATTCCGAAAACTGGAGCTTGCTTGGACAGCTTATTGAATTTTATTTATATTTTGTTTATTTTATAATTAAATGTGTTTTAATTCAATTAGTAGGCAAAATTAAATTATACAGTTTGTTTTCTCTTTTATTTTGCACCATAACTTTGAATTTCAAAATACAATAGAAGTTCACTAATCTGATATATATGGGACTAGAGTAGTGCCAGAGTTCTTTTTGTTGTTCAATTATTACTCATTCTCTTTAAGATCCTTTAGTGATGAGCATAAATTTTGCTGAAGAGAACAAATCATAAAAGGAACACACTAGTAGTTGACAATTCCAACTTTATTATACTAGGAAATGCATTTCAGGCCTGTCCCTCCTCAGTCCTTTATTACAGATGTTTGACTATTTCCAAGGCTGTGGAATGGGAGTCATGGAGTTTTGGTGTTTTAGTCAGAGTCATCAAAAAATCTGCTGACTCAGACTTATTTTTACTTCTCAACTTATGTATATAAAATGGAAAAGTATTGGAATCATGTCAAATTTGACCCTCTAAGTTTTTTGCAAATCTTTTTTGTTTGGAGACCTCCCAAACAAAAAAAAGAAAAATGTCAATTAAAGGAGAAAAATTCATGTGTGTGTTGGCATCTAGTTTGTTTAATTTCTTTATTCTGTGTTCTGAGATATTAAACAATACCTCAGAACGGGCAAAGTTTAAGAAACTAAATTTGGCACTGTAGCTTGTGTATAAAGGGACATTAATGCTATTAAACTTTGGTTCTTAATTAAAGGTTGACAGGCTGGAGACATAGAAGGGGTCATGTGTCATATCTTCAGTGTTATCAAACTTAATGAATATTTTACTTGTTATTAGTGTTCACAATTAAAAAAAAAACTTGTCGCTATCCTCAAAATTAAGCCTTTTGTCATTTTATAATAGTACAGTAAAACCCATTAAGATGTTCTTGCCTAAGATATTAGAATGTGTGGGGGGGCATGATTTAGTTCAACCACTTTTAAGCTTAATAACTCCTGTGTTAAACCATCCAACTCCACCACAGAAGTTATTAGGCTTCAAACAGGGTGAACAAAATCGCCTTCCCCCACACAGTCTAACATCAAAACATACAGGGGAAAAAAACTAAATCTTTTGCATATCTCGACATTTCAAGGTGTCCCGAGTCCAAAAATTTGGGAGGGGTCATTTTTTGACTGACTGCTACACTTTCCCTCTGTTAGATATATAACATCTGGAAAAGTAAAAATTATTGAATACAGTACATATTTATATATTGACTATGTCATTATTTAGAGGAGTCTTTAGCTTTGAAATAAAAAAGTTTCTACATTCTATCTTTATTAGAACTCTATTTATTGAATATTTTATTCTAAGGTCACGTGATGACATCAGAATTTCCAGGTCTATTTTGGTAACAAGTCTGCCCCTGGTTGGAGTTTGGAGTTGGAGTGTGGATTTTTAGACTCCACAGCCCTGACTATTTCTTAAAACTATGCTAGTGACCACTGGATGAATCAACTTTGTATTCATAAGGTGATAAATAAAATAAAGTTAATATAAGGCTATGATAAAGTTAAATAAAAAATGGGTTATAATTTGTTGAGTCCTGGTAGGGTGACTCTTTGCGCAGGTGCGACATGGTTTTAATAATTTTTGAACTTTTATTCAAATGCTTGTTCAAATTTTATTCCAGAAGCTATTAATTAAAAAGAACCATCGGGGAATCATTACAAAACTTGATTGAAGAACTCGGAAGGAGTTCAAAAACATGTTTTTGTTTGTTTTCTTTATCTGCACACCATAATTGGTTTGGAATACATGATTGAATGTAAATGTTTTCAAAATGTTGATTATTAAAGGCTTTCCTTTATGTAAGTTCCTTTAAAAATAAAATTAAATCACTTTAAAACCTTTGCCGTACTTTGTATTCCTCAACCAAGTTGATATTTACAGATACACAATAAAGCACATTATAAAACATGGAAGATGAAATGGGTTGGAAGGCATTCACAACTGGCTCATCTAACTTTGTAGTAATGCCATATCTCACTGATGATTATTTCTGGATTTAAATTCATTCTGTTTTCTTTAATTTTAATGATTTCTAAACATTCATAACATTTTCTTTTGTAAGGATATTAACGTCATTACTGGTATGTTCCTTGTATGATTTGTTCTCTTCAGCAAAATTTATGCTTATTGCTAAATGGTGCCAGATTGTTGATTTTGTATTTTCTCAGTCTGATAAGTTATATTCAAATCTGAACATTGCACACATTGCTATACATTTTGTTCCAGTGTCATTATGTAGGAAAGCTCCTTTTATAGATGATGCCATGCAGATATAGTAAGGATCAAATCATTGTCAAAATTATGAACTTCAGGCAATGTTTTTAAATCCGATCCTGAAAGATGTTTGCATCAACTTGTTTGGTGGTTATGGCACAAACATGTATTAGACATGACATAAAAACAAGGTTCTGTAACAAAATGAGTCATTTTTCTGTATCACATTGCTCTCAAATCCAAGGTCAACCTCCAAATATACACAACTATGCAGTATTTGTGTATCACATATTTAATTTATTTCCTTTTTTTTGTCTTGTATCTCTATGTTTCATATCTTAGTGCAATTTTCTTCAGGTCTGTGCACTATTTGTTTTTTCCCCCCTCTTCTCAGCTGGTTAATATCTGTTGACCTGAACACACAAAAAATGTAAATTTCATTTAAGGATAGAACAGGATAGAAGAAAGAGTTTGGACTGAGTCAAGGTGAAGAAAGGATGGATGAATAAAAACAAGAAAAATGGAACTTGGAGGAAAGTCCCATGCAAGGAGGGTGGAGAAGATAGTATTGCTGGAATCTCCCCTAGGAAAATTAAACTTTGATTTTTAATACAGTCGACCCCCCTATAAGATATAGATACGTTCCAATTTATTAGGAATCCGATTTCTTACAAGTCGTTCCAATCACAGCCCGACACGTGTCAAGTTTACGGACTACGGCTGATTGAAAGGTTTTCTTCCATAAAATTAATCGATTCTACACTAATCCGACTCAACATTTCCAAAATACGTATATTTTTTCGTAGTTTTATAGGAATTGTGATTATAGGGACCGTAATTATAGGGGGGTCGACTGTATGAAGACAAAGCATCAGAAGAGAAGAAGAGTCCAAGAAGAACCATGAGTAATATTGTTCAATTAGTGGTAACACTCTCCTGTTGATTTTCATAAAGTATGTTTTCTATCCAGTAATTATTCTTCTGTCTTCATTTCCTTTTTCTCACTTTACACATAATACATGATGTTAATATTGAAATTTTTTAATAACTATAATTGATTATTGAATGAAGTTGTACTATCAGAGCTGGCATTAGAGTTTATGCTGCCAAGAGCAAGATATGCATTTGATGCCCCATATCTTGCTCCATTATTAAATATTCAACTTAGGCAATAAGTAGAACTATATAAAAAAAACTATACAAAATTTTCAGGAATATTATTTTTCAAATAAATTTATAAAAATTAGCAGAGTGCCAGCCCTGCTGACCATTATTGTAATATTTTTCTAACATTTTTTGTGTAATGGGATAAAACAAAAAGTTCATTTATGATTAAAAAATTATTTTATAATTGCATTTACTGCCTTTGCTTCAATTTTTGCTTGGAATCCTAATATCCACAAATCAGATATGTTAAACATGCTGGATTAATGAACTTATATTGTACTGTAATTTGTATTCTAAAATATAATCATGTAAACATTAAAGCAAGCAAAAGCATTTTGTACATTAGTCAAAATTTTATTTTACATAAATTGTCTTTGGGTAGTAACCAGGCAGTACTCAAATTGAAATTTGAGTACTGCCTGGTTAATTGATTAATCATTTATCATTATGATAAAGATTATTAACCAATAACCAGCACTAATAAAGAGTTGCTAGAAAAGAAAAATATAGTAAGTATTGAATGTATTTAAAAATAAATGTAAAATATCAGAAAAATCTTCCTTAATATAACAACACATTTCAAATTAGTAAATAGCTCTCAAATACACTATCTACCAGAAAGTAATTAG